CAACGACGAAATTGAATTCGTTAACTTTTGACGGTGATAGTTTCGTTAATGACATAACATCGGGGAAAACAATTTTAACGAAAGAATATTTAAAATCTCATGTTAGTGAGTTCGTTGAAATTGAAAAAAGAAGGTGGAATTAAGTTCGATCCACTGAATTTCATTTTCAACTTAGCGAATGCAGGAATTAGTTTCGCTGAATGGACAACTATACAGAGTGAAATAAATGCAATATGGACGTTTTTGGGGTCAAAAGCGGGAATGGGTGAGCTTGTAAATGCTGCAAGAACATTAGGTGAAACAGGAAATTTTGTAGATGGTTTTAAAAGACTTGTTTCAAATGTTTTAACAAACACAAAGAAATTATTTAGATATACCATACATAACGGACGAATTTTTGAACAGGTAGCAACAAACCCTCCGGTTATGGCTGCGTTGATGATGGTTAGAGATATAAAACCACGTAACGACGGGAACGAAGAACATGAACAACAGAGCCCAACGGGCTCAGAGCCACATAGTGGCGAGGATACTGGTCGGGTTATTCAAGACATTAAAAACGTGTATCCTGAAGTTATTGATTTATTTAGAGGAGTTAATGATTCAATTTCAAAACATTCTATAACCCTCGATGAAGAGAATAAATTAACAGATTATATATTCGTCATTATTGCAGAATTAATGAAGAGAATAAATGAAAAAGGAATAGTGATATCATTAATGTCAGCGATGTAATGATGAAAAGAAATTTTGACTCATTATTTACAAAACCGAAAACAGAATATAGTCTTTATGACGTAATTACCGAATTAATGAAAAAGATTAATGATAATAAGAGTTCTGGCGGAAGAGTTGAATTAGAAGTGAATGATGTTAATGAGAAATTAGCCGAAAAAGCAGATAAAAACCACGTTCATTATATAACTTCAGACGAACAGATTATAACGGACTACCATGGATATTTAACACGAAGTGATGAAGCGAAGACAAAAAATGTTAATGAAAGAAGATATAAATACATTCGTGCTAAAGGTTATGACATAAGCTGTACTGTACAGTATGACACAGGTAAAGCACCAGAAGCATTTAGTTATAACGATGAAATTTATGCCTCTACTTTCTCTGTTAATGGTGTATTAGTTGAACCAAGATTTATGTTAAGAGTTAAGGCAAAAATAACGTTTGAAGATGCTATTAAAAGTAAAGCTGACAAAGTTGAACTTGACGCAACGAACAAAGTTTTGAAATCTCATAAACACAACATCTCCGATATAAATGAACTTCAAACTTCTTTAGACAGTAAAGCTGACAAGAACCATACACATAAATCCTTCACTACTGTTAGAGCAGACGACATAATATTGAACTTTGACCTTGGTTCAAGTGCACCTTTAGAGAATCCGAGTACAAGCGTAAAAGATACTCTTACCAGTTTAGATAACAGTTGCAGGAACATTGAAAGTCATGCCAGAAACTTTGAAGCACATGAACTACCAGCAATGTTAGACAAGAAAGCAGACAAGAACCATACACATAAATCCTTCACAACTGTTGCTATAGAAAGTATTGAAGGAACGGTTGAAGAAACTGGTGGGGATGCATTATATTGTAAACCTCCTAACTTTCCACAAGGTTTAACATCGGATGACGACATAACGACGATGAGAAACATTAGATGTAAAGATGTTTATGTCATGAAGGATGAACATAATATTAAATTCACTGCTCAAGATTTATATGACAGTAAAGCCGACAAAACAGAGCTTCAAACATTAAAGACAGAAATACTTCAAACATTATATCCTATAGGCTCTATTTATACGTCAATGAACTCAACAAATCCAGCAACAGTTTTAGGTTTTGGTACATGGCAGCAGATTGTAGACAAATTCTTATACTGTGCTAACTCTTCAAAGCAAACAGGAGGTTCGAAGAAAATTACTGAAGCAAACCTTCCACCGCACACTCATACAGGAACTACAAACACAACAGGTAGTCATTCACATTCAATAACAAAAAGAGGTTATACAAATCTTGCAGCAGGTTCGGATAGACAGGGAATGCATAGATATGATATTTCAAGTGACCCAGTAGATTCAAGCGCAGGTATTTTCTGTGGAACCGCAGGAAATCATTCACACACTTTCACAACAAATCCAACAGGCTCGGGTGCAGATTACATGCCACCATTTGTGACTGTATTTGCATGGTACCGCGTTCAATGAACGCGCTTGAGCCTTGGTTAAAATCTTTAACTTTACATAAATGAGCTTGAAAGAAGTATTCGAACAACATCCATGGAGGTCATTTAAGAAATTCAATGAAGCTGCAAAGAGTTGGGGATTTACTAACAGAGCTGAAGTGAAAAGGTTCTTTGACAAAAATGTTGTACACAAAAAAAATAAACCCTTACGACACTACTTTTTACCAATTTACTCCAACACTCCTGACGCATACCAATTTGACACTCTCATTCAAAGCAGAAAAGGAGGACATAAACCATTCCTCATCTTCATAAATGTTAACACTCGTAAAGCTTTTGCGTATATAATGAGAAATAAAGGAACTCATGAAGTGTTAAGAGTTTTACAAAAGTTTGTAGCAGAACATAACCCAAGTACTTTAACATCAGACCAAGACAGTGCATACCTCAGCAATGAAATCACAGATTTTCTCATTAAGCATAACATAATTCACTACACTACTGAAGACCATAACCATAACATACTCGGCATCATAAATCGCTTCATAAGAACGCTCAGAGATTTAAACCAAGAGCGAGACTTTACCGAAGAAACAATGAAACATTTTCTCGAAGTATATAATTCCTCAACACATTCTACAACAGGACATACACCAAATTCAATGACACAACAACAAGAAGAAAAGTATATACAAAAGAAACGAAGCCAAACACAAAATATCAGAAATTCAACAAAATTTACCCTCATTCCTGGTACAAAAGTTCGTGTAGTTCTTGACGACAAACCATTGACAAAGAAACGTTTAAGGTTAAGTCGAAATTATTATATTGTAGACTCTACGCAAGGTAATGGATATCTTATAAAAGCTGCTGACGACTCCATAGCATTTTACCCTCGACATAAATTAGTTGAAAGTAGTAATGGCAAACTTGCTGAAACCATTGACGAAGCAAAGCGAGGAGTGGTTATTGAAATACTTGGCTACAACATAAACGATGACACTTATAAAGTAAGATATGAAGGAGGCGTTGAAGATGTTATACCATCTAAGAACTTGAGAGAGTCAAAGCCAACACATCTGGGACCATTAGAGCGGGAGTACTGGAAAGACAAAAATATGCCAGAAAGAATAAGAAAATTCTTCTAAACTTTTTCATTAGATGTAAATCAGACATGAATGAGAACAGTCATGATATCATTAATGGTACCATTTATTTACACCAAAAAATAATGTTTATGTTAGAATGTTAGATCTAACATGTTTTCTAACACGTTTTCTAACATGGTCTAAAACTCTCGAAAATCATGAATTTTTGACATTTCCTTATGAAAGAAAAATAACGCTAATTTTTTTCTAAGAAAAATTTTTATCTTGTATGTAAAGATATGATTTCAACAATCGGCACAACAACAATTCAAACTACAGCACCAAACTCGTTAGTCATGAATCCTACGTCAATGTTAGTAGAGATGAAAAGCTTCATTCCTTCTTCATATACTTTCGAAACAAAAATCCAGAAGATAAAGCAAGAACTTTTAACAAGTAATTTAGACTGTAGTGCGAAAGATGAAACAAATGAACAGTATCTTTATGAAATGCAGGACATTATTGACCATTTACCCAAATTGCCTGAAATTCAGCATCAAAAACTCACTATTCCTGAATTCGACGAAATTGAAGTCAAAGCAACTGACTCAGTAGAAATAAAGAAGTTCATTCGTAAGGTAAACTATGAGTTTCTAGGATTTCATTGCAACCATAAGGTTATGGACAAAGATTGCGACATGGTATATAAGAACATCTCTGACATATATAAATCTGAAGAATTTAAGACCTACGACAACTTTGTTTCGTTAGTTGCTGAATGTGTATGGCAGATAAGAGATAAAGATAGAAGAGGCAAAGTATGGAACGAACAAATAAGACCCGCTATGTTTGAGATGAAGAGAGCAATTGACGCCTTAGTTGTTTTAGCAGGTAAGGTTTCAGAATATAACGCAAAAATGAACCCGCAATGTTCTAAATGTAAAGCAGCAATGAGGAAATATAACTACTCCGTCAAAGAGATAGAACGTATGAGAAACGACTATGCAGACTTAAAGAAAGAAGCAGAAAAGCCAGCAGAAGATAAAATGGACATGTTAGCATTTCTGAACAAAAACTATCCAACTGCAGAAGATTTCCTTCTATCTGATGTCAAGAAGAAGTATAAAGAAACTTTCGGTATCGTTAAAACATTCGATGTACTGACAGAAGAAATAGAAGCTACAAAATTGTTTAGAGTCATGAACCATCGCAACATATACCATGTAAAACGCTTGTAAATAGTTATGTTAGAAAACGTGTTAGAAAACATGTTAGATCTAACATGCTAACATAAACATTATTTTTACTGAATTCCGTATGAAATTTCATGAGTTTTGTGTGTTTTAGACCATGTTAGAAAACGTGTTAGAAAACATGTTAGATCTAACATTCTAACATAAACATTATTTTTGCTGAAAAATGACCAAATTTCATGAATTTCCTTATGACAGAAAAATAACGCTAATTTTTTTCTAAGAAAAATTTTTATCTTGTATGTAAGAACAGAAATGTTAAACACTGAGTTTGAAACAGTTAGAAAGATAGACAATGACACCAAAGTGGTTAGAATAGGTGATTTAAACGTAAGATACTCAAAGAAATACAACAAATATTCTTTGTCAGACATTATATCTCCATCTGAAAAGAAAACAAACCACTGGGTTAGAAATGCTTCAACTCAGAAAATTTTGACAAGAAATCCTGAGCTTATGATATCGGTAAGATTCTATGGAACTGCAGCATATCTCATCGACAAAAGTCTTATACCAATAGTTTTGTTATGGTTAGACCCAGTTGTTGGATATAACTTCATAACATATGGTTCATTCGATACGGAACGTTGCAGTGAAGGCTTACTTTACATCGTTCAGAAACCGAAGGACTTCAATACAAAGAGATATAAGATAGGAAGAACATATAATATAACTCAAAGATATGACAGTACAGTCAATAGAGTCAAGGTTGTGTTTGTTAATGATATGAGAGCTGCTGAAACAGAACTACTTGAAAAGTTTGAGAAAATGTATGGTGCTCCCATAAAAGGTAAAGAAACGTTTGAAGTAGATGAGATAGATAGTGCTATAAAATTATTTGACGAAGTTGCTGAAAAATACATGTAAAGCGTTTATTTTTGGTCTTTTGTGAAAGTCAGAAAATAACGCTAATTTTTTTCTAACAAATTTTTTTATCTTGTATGTAAGAACAGTAATGTCAACATCAGAGAACACAACAACTGCTATCGTTCATGAAGTCATAAATGAAGAATATGAGTGGGTTCAGTTTAACAAACAACTCCGTCTCATTCGTTCGGTCAAAGACGATATGTACCAAATGCAAAGTATTTTGACAGCATGTTTTGCTCCAGATACCAAACATACAGACGATTGGTCCAAAAACCAAAGCACACAAGAACTTTTGAGCGAAGCACAGCGAGACCGACTTTTTTCGGGGTCGCCTAAAACTCATGAAAACAGTGAAGAACAGCGAGTAGGGAAAAAACCGCAGTCGCCTAAAACTCATGAAAACAGTGAAGAACAGCGAGTAGGGAAAAAACCCTGGTCGCCAAAACTCTATGAAAATCGTAAAAATTTGCCAAACGGTTTGAGAGGTTGGTATGTACATAGACTTCTTGTAAATGCAGTTGCAATGTGGGCTTCGCCTCGTTATGCTTGGAATATTTACAGACTTCTTGACGAAATTCACAGACAAGAACGTGAAGAGATGGAAAACAAGCTTGAAGCAAAAGACAAAAGCATTCAGAAAAGAATACCACGTTCGGTACCAAAAGGAAAGGAAAAGAACTATAAGTATATGATTTATACTGAAGAGATGGAAAATGAAGAAGATAAAGATATGGTTATGTTGCATTTAGTCAGAAGAAACAACAAAAGCTTTTACGACCTTGCTAAGATTTACAAATCTGACAGAAATTGGTTCTATCGTGAAAACTTACCGATTTCAATGACACCGAATGAAGATGTGAAACAAATAGTTCAAGATACGTTACCTCAAACACACTATGACATCAAAGGTTGCACAATACTTACATTCAAAGAAGACTTACCATTGTTAAAGGAAAAAATAACAGAGTATTTCGATAACTTCAAAGAGGAAGAATGAACAAAAATATATTTTTGCTTAAATAGCTTCAGGGTCTATTTCTTCAACCATTTCACTTCCTTCGTCAATGTCAATTGAAGCTTCTTCAACCTTTGGTAAGAACTTTTGTATAACATCTTTGTTCGTTATTGTCTTCAGAGATGAAGGATAATATTTCACAGATGTTTCACCCTTCTTATATTCTTTCTGTTCGGAAAGATTTAAAGCAATACTGAAGAAGTCAATGTTAGAGTTCTTTATGACAGTATAATGAGTATCTTTGACATTCACGAAGAAACCCTTTTGTTTCAAAACTACTGCTAACTCTTGTGAAGTATAACGTTTGCGGTCAATGACGATAGCTAATGGTCTGACATACTGACCAAACTTAGATTCTTTCACAAACTTCTTGTTAAAGATAACATTAACGTTTGAAGCATTATTGAACTCATTCTTGATGGCAGTAGCGAGAGCATTGTATGAAAAGAACTTGCAATCTTGCATGTGTTTCATTAAAATAAAAAGTTCGAAATATTTTAAAACTAGCCTTAAAAATGCCTAAAGTATAATGGCAGAAACATAAGTGTTTATATATTTAACGACTAAAAACCCTGGTCATATAATTCTATAACAACAAACTTACAAAGTCCTCAAGGACGATATTGTAAACTGACTTAAACCACGATGACGGACTAAAGGCCTGTTTTGCTCTTTTGACACCAGGGAAGACTTTGTTGTTGTTGAATCGTAAAAAAATACCTTCTTTTGAAGATACTTACTTCAGATATACCACCAACAGGTTTTGTTGACTTATTTAAAACTTTTAAGGACGGACTGTAACATTGTGCTTGCAACTAGAGCAGGTTTCATTATGTTCTGGATTGTCCGGAGCTGAGTTTAGTAGTGAAACGATATTGGCTATAATACAAACTTATATCTGGTATTTTCACTTTACCAAACAGTTTCCTAATAACAGGAAAAGGTGTCATAACAAGGTTTTGTCTGTTCCATTGACTTTAAGTACAACCTATTTATATATTGTTTTCAAACTTAGGTTTCAAAGTGCTAATTTCGAATGTCGACAAGAAACTTAACTATGACCAAAAGATACTTCATGGTTATAAACAAACACTTTCTCTGCTGGTTTGCCTATTGTTGCATTCGAATGCAGAGTTTTCAGCTTTAGTAAACTCAAACCACTTAGCAAACATAAACTTGAACCTTAGTTGACGCAAACTTTGTTCCTGTAAAAACTTTTATGTTCCTGATTGTATTTGTCACAATGACGGCAGAAAGTTTCAATTGGAAGATGCAACCGGTGAAAAGAGTATCTGTATTTACAAGAACAACTTCACACAACAAATAGCTCAAGAACAACAAATGCAACAAAATAGTGCTCAAGAATAAAAAAAATATTTTTTTTATTTTATTATAAAAATGTACAGATAGTTAATGTTTCAGATTTTTATGCTTCCAAAGCGTTTCAGAAATATGTGTTCCATTTCGAGATCATAACCCAAAGGCAAGTTTTCCGGGGAGAAATTTGAAAACGTTTATCATTTATGTCGACTCTGCCCCAGGAATGTATATGTTACTGGAAAGAATGGGATGTTTGTCTTAACAAACCAAGAGCAAACAAGAGTGTCTGAACAAGAATGTTAGACAGGAAACTTAAGAAAATATAAAAGTCGTACAGTTGGTATGAATGATTGTTAGATGCTTGGGATATTCTTATTGTCAAAGTTAGAGATTTTTTCATGTTTCGTGGTTATAAAGTTTTTAACACATCTCCAAAAATTCTATTCTATCTTCCACTGAGATATTAAATATGAACAAGTAGAATGGAAAGAAAATGTATTATGGAGAAGGGGTTAGGAGCCATGGTCAAAGAAAATTATATCGCCAATGGAAACGAAAGAGGTCTATTGAGTATATCTTTATGTTTGGTTTGCAAACATCTTACAACATCCAAGTTGCTAATAATGAAACTGCTCTCATTTATAATTGGAAAAACAAGGAACTGGTAAGAACACTTTCTTTAACAGATATTTTTGTGCAAACTGTTTAGAGGGCTATTCGAACCCTAATATGGAACAAACTTAGAAAACATCTGGCGGTTAAATTTAACTCTCAATAGAGAAATGAAAAACTTATAGTATGTAAACGAACTCAAAGTATAGATACAACAAAGGTTTTAAACTCTGGATGCTTTTGAAGAGTTCTTTTATAAACAGGAACAAAGTTGGAGTTGTTGAAGGAAAAATATAAAGACCAAGAGTTTGTGGAAAATGTTGCAAATTTCATCATGGTTCAAAACAATGTTGTTCCGATGAAGTATAAGAAGTTCTGACAGAAATATGTGTTTTCAGAACGTCAGATTCTCATATCAAGATACAGAATATTTTTGACGACTAGGCCAGAAACTTTGACACCTAACTTTTACAAACCACTTGTTCTTTCATATTTCATGACATTTAGATATTTCAAAGTGTCAATTCCAAGACAAATTCCACATACCGAAGAAAGACAAACATTGTTTAGAAGCAAACAAGAGTATTTTATGAACTTGTTTATATAGATGAGACTAACTTTGAGTGTTTAGATGAAAGGTCATTGTACGATGAATATAAACAGTATTGTTCAAGAGAATAATGTTTATTGGCAGCTTTCTAAAACGAAACATTTCTTGGCAAATGTCAAAAATCTTTTTAGATGTTTCAAACGGCGTTATATACAAAGAAAAATTTTATTGAGTAAATTTTTAAAAAAAATATTTTTTTATCCGAATAGGAAAAGATGACGAAAATATATTTCAGTCAACAAGTACATGACAGAAGTCAAAGAAGAACTAGACCCATTCGCTTATTTGAATGTTTACTTCTACCATTTTGAAAAGTCTACATTTGACAAAGTTTGGAACATCGAACCAGTTAAGTTTGCTATTGTGACTAAAAAATGGTTGCGAAATTTGAAGACTTAGACATAGAAGGTTTGTTAGCAGTCAAAGAAAATTTTGACAGAAGGTTTTCAAACCTTAAAGAAGGCAAAGGCATACAAACTTGTTATACCTTATGAACCAAAGAAAGCAGACGACATGAATATTTATGAGTCTAAGATAGTTGAAGTTCAAGGTAAATTGGGTAAAAAGATTTTTAGAGTCTAAGCCGGTGTGTGCTCCTAAAGAGGAAGAGAGAACATTGACATTGACCCAGAAATGTTCTGTAAAAATAAAATTTTATTTTTACATGTCAAAATTTCTTTTTCTCTTGGCTCTGGCTCTGGCTCTTTCTTCTCTTTTCTACTTTCTTTTCTTTCTTCTCTCTCTTCTTCTTCTTTTCTGGTGGAGTTATGTCAAATTTCTCAGGAACCATATTTATGTAAAGTTCTTTGTCCTTTAATAGCTCTTCTATTCTGTTTCCTATTTTCATCTTCAAGAACAGCGCATGTGTCTTCTTTGCATTTCTAGAACTTTTGTTGGGACTTCATCTCTCCAAGAGGCGTCAGTCTCTGTCAACAAGTCTGTCATTGACAAACTTAAAGACTTCTCTGCCTAATGTTTTATGGTTCTTGTCATATCCCAGAAAACAGAACTTTAGAACAAATTCCCCTTCTTGTTTACACTATGTAAGATTTTATGGTCGACAGAAGTTTTAGAGTCAAAAAGCTTTGTCTCGAATTAGATAGCGAAATCACTAGACATTTTCTAAGATAAAAAAATTTTAATTTTTTCTAAAAATATGTTAGGAAAAAAAGTTTGCTGACATTGACAAGAAATTTGAGAATGTTTAAAACAAGAACAAGAGGAAGTTAGAAAATGCTCAGATAAAACCCATACATGACAAGTTCCTAGTTTTGCTCAGAATGGTATAACAGGTCTAATTGCACCGCCTGGGTCGGGTAAGACTTTCACTTATCTTAAAATGGCTGCCAACAACAAGAACTAGATGAGAAGAACCCATTCTATGAGTTAGTTGTTATTTGTAGTACTTCTGGTCAATTTGACCAAACCGTAAATTCGTTCAAAGATATTATAAGAAGTCTAACGTTAGTATTGTATAAAAGACTCTGAGTTGTTAGATTGGATAAAGAAGTACCAAAGAAGAGTTTTGAAGTACAATGCTATAAATGAGTATATAAATTGCTAAGTTTAAAGACCCAAATGAGGAAATGCAAAGAATATTAGAGAGAAGAAACACTTCAGAAACAACAGGAGAGATAGATCACATTTCGAAGAAAATTGCAATCTTACGATTGGAGACTTACCCTCATAATGTCTTCTTATCTTAGATGACTTTGCTTCTCATCCTTTGTTAAAAGAACAGAGAACAAGATATGTGTCGAATGTCTTAAGAAGCTCAGACACTTTAACATCTCATTTGTCATTTGTTACAGACAGCAAAGAGTTTAAGTAAAGATGTTAAAAGAATACTTACTGACATTATACTTTTCCTGGAGTTTGTCCGAAGACGATTTCATGGAATTATGAAAGAGTCCATGGCAGGTAAGTTTGACAGACATGAAACTATGGGAAGAAGTACAAAGTCATAACAAAGACCCTCATACTTCTTTCAGAATTTCATATTCTACGCAAACAAAGTTTCAAATTGTAAAAAGGTCAATAAAAATAAATGGTTCATTTACTCTGCTTGTTTTGAAGTTGTCAAAATACTCTGTTATTTTTTCACGATTTTCATACGGAATTCAATAAAAATATATTAGGGCTAGATGGGTATATCTAACCCGATATCTAACCTCATTTCTACCCCAGTTATTTTATAAGCGTTTCAACATGGTAAACGTTTATTTTTTAAATTTTGTGAAACTCAACGGTTTTGACACAAGCCCTAAAAATTATTTTATCAGAATTTTTGTTGCTGAATTCAATAAAAATTATTTTTAGGGTAGATGGGTATATCTAACCCGATATCTAACCTCATTTCTCCCCAGTTATTTTATAAGCGTTTTACATGGTAAACATTGTGAATTCGTGAAATTCTAAACAATTTCGTAGCTTCTATTTCTTCTGTCAGTACATCGAATGTTTTAACAATGCCGAAGGTTTCTTTATATTCTTCTTGACATCTGAAAGAAGGAAATCGTCAGCTGTTGGATAGTTTTTGTTTAGAAATGTCAAACATGTCCATTTTATCTTCTGCTGGTTTCTCTGCCTCCTCTTTAAGCAGCATAGTCGTTTTCTCATACGTTCTATCTCTTTGACGGAGTAGTTAATATTTCCTAATTGCTGCTTACATTTTGAACATTGCGGGTTCATTTTTGCGTTATATTCTGAAACCTTACCTGCTATATGACTAAGGCGTCAATTGCTCTCTTTAAACTCAAAAGTTGCGGGTTTATTGTTCTTCCATATCTTACCTCTTCTATCTTTATCTCTTATCTGCCATACACATTAGCAACTAACGAAACAAAGTTGTCGTAGGTCTTAAAACTCCCCAGATTTGTATATGTCAGAGATGTTCTTATATACCATATCGCAATCTTTGTCCATGACTTTGTGGTTGCAATGAAATCAAGAAACTCATAGTTTAACCTTTCGTATGAACTTCTTTATTCTACTGATCAGTTGCTTTGACTTCTATTTCATCGAATTCAGGAATAGTGAGCTTTGTTGCTGAATTTCAGGCAATTTGGGTAAATGTCAATAATAATCCTGCATTTCATAAAAGATATTCTTCATTTGTTTCATCTTTCGCACAACAGTAAATACTTGTTAAAAGTTCTTGCTTTATCTTCTGGATTTTTGTTTCGAAAGTATATGAAGAAGGAATGAAGCTTTTCATCTCTACTAACATTGAAGTTGGGTTCATGACTAACGAGTTTTGGTGCTGTTGTTGCTAACATGTTCTTACAATAAAAATAAAAAAATATTTTTTTAAAAAAACCAACTTTATTTTTTATTTCGGGAAAACTCATGACAAATTCAAGAGGGTAGAAAAAGAGGTTAGAAAAGAGGTTATATCTAACCTTCTACCCTAAAATATATTTTTGCCGAATTCATGAGTTTTGGTTGAAAGAATACGGGGGAGCCAAAAGTGCTCGACCTCAAAACAAGCATTTTCTGTATAAAATTCATGAAAATTTCATGAGGTTAGAAAAAGAGGGTTAGAAAAGAGGTTAGATAACCCATCTACCCTAAATTATATTTTTGCTGAATTCAGCAACAAAATTCAAATTGTAAACGGTTTAATAGAAAAAGTGTTATTTTTTCATGTCCGAAGACTCGAAGTGCAACACTTCCAAAATACGACGAACTCAGAAGAGCAGCATGGCATAGTATGTTCTTGACAACTTCTTTGAGTTCTCCAGGAACACCTTGGAAAATGCCTGAAGAACTCCGACACAGAGAATTGGAGAAATTGCACTCCAATACTACCTTGACAAACAAAGGGTAAACAAAGGGTAAAATAAGACTAAAAACTTAACGTTTAAAAAGTGACATTTTTATGAGCTCCGAGTCACCGAGAAAACTTGGTCAGATGTTAGCAGCTTACTTCCCTGAGGAGGATGGAAGCGTTACATACGGTAAGGTTCAAAAACAACGAACCTGGAATTGCGTACCAAATTCGCAATTACATGACCATGGAAGAGTACAAAGGTTTCTACAAGAGAAACCAGCTCTAAACAACTCAGAAAAGAAAGAATAAAAAGTTTAACTCGTAATTGTTTATTTTTACTTGTATGGGCAAGCTGCAAGAAATGAAGTCGACTATCTCGGTCTTTGTCTTGACCAGTTGGACTGCTCTTGCGAGTACGTCTGTTTTACGGTCTCCAGCTGGTGTCTGACCTTCGTAATTGCGCATGTTCTTGAGAGCCCAGTTGTAAATGGTTGTAGGATTGAAGAGTCCTCTCAGACTGCTTGAGGTAGTCTTCACGGTCACGAAACGAAATCTGTGGTACGAGTCGAATCGGTCGATTTTGAGGAAGAGAGTGAGAGCCTGTCTTCTTCCATAGGGGCTGTTTGCATACTCTTTGCGTAAACGGTTCAGACCTTCTTCGAACTCTTGGTCTCTCTTGGGACTGAGATTGGAATTGAATTGGGGTGGAGGGTTTGACATGAACATCCAAGGTTAGGGAAGTAAGGCATGGGTTGAGGAGGGTTAGTTTGGAAAGCCTTGTGGTGGGTAGTTTGGAAAGCCTTGTGGTGGGTAGTAACCTTGAGGTGGAAATTGGTAGTAATTCGGAGGTCCTTGTTTGGAACTGAGGTTGCTGTGGGGAGCCTTGTGGAGGTGGAACCTGTTGTGGTGCTGGAAGCATGCTGTTTCTTCTGGCTGTGGAACGGGTTCAGTAGGTGGGACGTCGGACATTCGTTTGTTCTTAACCGTCTTTGTTCTGAAACAATTATAATATTGTCTTGAAAAGTACAATATTGTTTAAAAAGTACAATATTGTCTTGAAAAAGTACAAACATTGTCTTGAAAAAGTACAACATTGTCTTGAAAAAGTACAACATTGTTCTGAAAAAGTACAACATTGTTCTTGAAAAAGTACAACATTGTTCTGAAAAAAAGTTCAAACTTGTTCTGAAAAAGTACAGCCGTACTCAAAATTAGAGACATTGTACTGAATTTATACAACAATTGTTTTTCTGAAAAAGTACAACATGTTTTGTAAAAAGTACCACATTGTGTCTTGAAAAAGTACAACATTGTCTTGAAAAAGTACAACATTGTCTTGAAAAAGTACAACATTGTTCTTGAAAAGTACAATATTGTACTGACTCAGTATGGAAGCTTGACCCCTTAGACGAAGCAATTTATCTAATTGAGGTAAATGAACCGGAAGGAATATCTCAAGCAAGTGCAAAACCAAGCAAGTCCATTGGCTTCTGGTTGTCCAAGAATAGTGTCTTAAAGTTGGAAATTGAAAACAGGTGTTGCAATTCAAGTTCCAGAAGGCACTGCATTCGATGATATAAGGATTGTGAAGAAAGAAGCCCTCTTGAAGTTCTTCATGAAACGTCCTTGGATACTACTTCCATATCGTTGAGAGCCCAATTCCACGAATTACACACAAATTCTCAGAGCACTACTTCACTACTCTGGACAGCCGTTCTTCATAACCTCAGAAGGCGACATCCAACCAATTCAGTAAACATCTCATTTTAACTTCACTTTTTTTATGTTTTTACTCACACTCGTACTCAACAGGTTTGTGTACAACTATTTCAACTGTGAACCTTGTTATTGACCGGTCTTCCTGCAAATGCAAGTTCGGTCAATACACAATTTATGGTGGCAAGAAAAGACAGTGGGAATGTTATTCTGACATCTTGTTGTTGCGCTCGAGAGAGAATTGAAATTCCAGACCCAACTCCAACAAGAACTCTCAAGTGCCGAAGACTCATGTGAAGAAGAAGCCTTCTGGTAAGTTTCTTATAGCCATATACATTGCACGCTTTGAGTAAAACATTTTTTTCATTTTTGAATGAAGCAAGTTAAATTCGTCCCACACCAAACTCAATGGACCGATGAAGAGTTTCAAGCTATGGTTGAAGGTGTTGAGAACGACATAGACGGCGAACTTGAAGGAGCTCAAACCACAATTGCAACCAAAATTGCAGAAGTCAAGGAACAAATAGCTCCACTTTAAAGCTACCAAGCTACTCTTGACCTCATGGATACTTACCGTTTAGAAGTAAAGAGTGGAAATAAGACAATTAAAATTAAACTCTAAAACTACGAAGCTATACTCCAAAAGTTAGCAGAAATAGAAGACTTTACCAGAGCTACTTACATGTAAGGGACTTACCTTCAAGCAATCCGACCAAAGATGAATTTTCTGACATTGTCCCAATTTTGTCGAAAGTCAGCTCAGATGTTTTTGAACTGCTCCCAACATATCCAGAATATGAACGTTTGCCTGAACTCTTCCGCCAATCTCAAAAAACGTTTTTTGGTTCTCATGTTCGAAACTTTTTATCGGAAGAGACAACAAACGTTCAGAAGAAGAACAAGATATTATTTTAAACTTGTTGTATGACTTAACGTTCATACAAGCTTTTTGAAGTAAAACCGTCATTCTCAAACCACTTCATTTTTTCGATGTCCGAAACAAGCACCGAAGCCGAAACACAATGGCAGATGTCCTTTCAATGTTGCCAGACAAGCGCCCAGTTCAAATTCAAATTTTGAATTTGAAAGCTCATCTGACAAACACCGTTAAGACTCTCCAAAGTAGTCTTATGGAAGAGATGAAAGGGACTAAAGGTGAGTTCCTCATGAACCAAGCTTCCAATGAGAAAGTCCTGAATGATTTGACGGAAAACTTGCGCATTTACGCGAGAGAGAACCGAGACCTTGCCAGACTCATCTACCGTTTCTTCGAAAGATAGATGCCATTCTGGAAGGTACTCGGAAAGGACAGAACATGCAACACCGTAATTCGTGAGCACCAAATTGAAGAAGGAATTTCGAGGAAGAAGAGAAACACGAAGAAGAAGAGAAACACGAAGAAGAAGAGGAAGAAGAAGAGAAACACGAAGAAAGGAAGTTGGGCAACCCTTGTTGCCGATGACGCTTACGAAAATTTCCCAACCCTACCCATACCAAATCCGCAACCAAGGGAGACCGGCAAGGTTCTTACCCCAGTCCTCAACAACTTGGGACAACTGACCTTAACCTTCGGAATCGCGTTCAAATTTCCATGGCAAGCTTGTCGCAATGCAATGGTTCCAAATCCAACAAGAAGACGAGGGTCAGACACATTGACGGTGGACAAGCTCAACAACCGTAGGAGAACCTCGAGTGGTTCTAAGAGTAAAAAAAATTTTATTTTAGGGGAAACCCCAAAGTAAATTTAGGTGTTTAGTTCATTAAGTGGGTTAAATTAAGGGTAATTTGGACAATTAGCTCCCGACCTCTGAATTGGACTCTTTTCGTCATCCCAGTTGCGTAGGAGGTCGTCCCCGAGGAGTTGGTAGAATTGCCAATCCAAGGACGATTTTTCCTCCCAGGCATTGAGGATGGTACCTGCTCGTAGAGTTTCATGACCTCTGCCTTGCACCAGACACCCTCTCCCTTGGAACGTAAGGCTTCTTCGAAGTGCTCGAATTGCGATTGGCTCGGGACCATCTGAAAATGACACTTTTTGTCCGTTTGGTCAATGTTCGTTCTCGTGTCATAGTCGACGAAAATAAATACAAAACAAACAGGTTATATATGAGTTTGAGACAAGAATGTGTGTAACTCGACCTGTCCGATTCAAATTCGAATAAAAATTTTTTACTTCATGCAATGTTTTATTTCTGTGCCGTCTTCAAGTATGCCCCAGTACTTACGCTTGTTAGAGGACATGAACTTCGGTGAAAATTTTGTCCAATTTGAATTGACCCATCTTTTCACCGACCATTCCATTTCAATGAGTTTGTTATAGCCTTCTTCGTTCGTCATGAGTGCGTCAATGTTCTCATAGTAAACCTTCACTTTGGATTTGACTTCGGAGAAGAATTTGTTGTAGTTGTCAAGGACTGCCTTTGCGAACTGAGGGGTAAGACCAATGTTCGACAATAGGTTTTAATGTGGTTACTAAGCCACTTGACCTTGAGTGAATTCGTACTTCAAAAAACAAAAGGAGAAAACCTTTCAACGAAGTTGTCGACACTTTCTCATAATGTTACTCTTCATCTCTTGAGGTTTTTTAATGGAATATCCCCATGTCGAATTCATAAGCAATTTGAGTTCATTGCAAGTTTGGGGTTTGAAGCTTTCCTAATATCATTACAGTTGTTGTATGACTTTTCCAACTGTATAGTTCCTTCCGGAACTCACCGTCTTCGTTTGGAATTCCAGTTGGAATATATTGGACAAACCTCATGTATGCAGCGTTAAGGTCGACATAGTATATCTTTTCATCTGAGTCGAACTTGTCGCATCCAATGGGTCCAGTTCGTGGAAATTCAAGTGAGTCTCTTATCTTCTGAGAAACTTCTCCTGTTATCTCATAAAACATCGTCGAAGCAACCTTGTTTCATATAAAAACCTTCTGACCTAACTCAGATGCTCTCCAATACAATTTGACGTCAATTGGATGTCTCAATGGAAGTTTGTTATAAGCATCTTGAAGTTCTTGCAACCTCATTGGAAGTTCTTCTGGTTCAGGTTGGTATCCGAACAATCCAAACTCCTTTTGGAACTGTGTACTTCTTTTGTACTAGAACTTTGTCTGGAACAACTTTTGGTCTTGCTAACAGTGAAAAGTTTGTTTCGTCTTTTGGTACAAAAGTTTCTGTCAGCTTGTCATCTGGAATTGGTTCCAACAAACCTTTCTCGAAAAGAATGTTTACAGCTCTGACAATGTTGCACTTGCCTTTCCGAACAATGGGTTTGTAAGACTTTCGTTCAACATGAAGTGGTTGTGGACAATTGCAATCTTCAACCTGGTAAGTCTTTGTCAACAACATAGTCGTCATGTGAAGAACCTTTAGCTGTAGGTATGTTGACTCGGATATTGACATTTGCCAACGGTGCAATTTTTGACAATTGACCTCTGAGAATGTACTTGTCTTCACCACATGACTCAAGATACTTCATTTTCTCATCTGTAACAAGACCAGAGTTCCTGAGACATGTATAAATACAAGGTTCGTTGACAATTGTTTTCAATTGAATTGTAAATTCCATACCTTGTCAAGTCAATGTCAGACTTATTTATGAACGGGAAGATATCCAGCATGTTGTCTGACTGCTTGAGGGTTAGGTTGGTACCATTCGAACTTGACACTTGCAATTCCCTCAATTGCATTCAAAAATGTCTGAGTCGGAGTCAACCATTTGTTCTCTCTTTGTAGTCTTGAAAGCTTCAAGAAGCATTGCAGCTGTTGTGACATTGCCATTGGCATAGTATATATGACCGTCCAAATCTGTTACGGTTAGTCTGAGATTGTATCCTTTCTTATTTCCGTCTTGTATGGCAGGCAAGTACACCCATGAAGCCTTCTTTGTTCTTTCCTTCGTCAAAGTTTACTGTAAAGGTCGACCAAATGTAATTTGACTTCTAACTTCACGATACTTTTCATATGCATATCTTGTTTCTTCCATGGGAGCATGTGCATCTTCACCTTTTCCTTTTTTCCTTCTCAAAGGATGCAATTGTTCGTCATGTTTCCAGTAGAATCTGGCAAAGCCGTCGTGTCCTTCAACTTGAGGTTCACTAACATCGAAAGGCATGTCCATAAGACGTTCTTCTTCTAACCTCTCTAGTCTGTTTGGATAATTTGCGCGTGCTGTTTCTAAGTCCATTTCGTAGCGAAGACCAGACAATTGTTCATAGACTTTTATGGGTCTTCCCTTCCTATATTTAAAATTCT